CTCACTTGGTAGCCCAGGCTGGCCTCGAACTCACAGAGATCCGCCTGGCTCTGCCTCCCGAGTGCTGGGATTAAAGGCGTGCGCCACCACCGCCCGGCATATTGAGTTTTTAAAAGGGTTCATTTCATAGGGAAGAATACTAGAATTGCTAGCCCGGACTTAAAATAGCACTTGAGGTGGAGCTGATCCCATTCAATGTATGTCTGTCGATGAATGACTCAACAAGCAAGATGAATGCCGGAGGAAGCTTCAGCTAATGGTAACCACAGCCTTCCTCACCACCCTCAACTTACAATTACGACTTTAATTTACAAACTACTGGCCATTTATCTGGGAGAGGCAGTTTAAAAGGTCCCCAGAGTCTCCTTTGTGACAAATGTCTTTAGATAAACTCTCCTTAATTTACATTATCCTGATAAAGCTGTTGTAACTTGAAGATGTATTTACTTCTCCTGGCCTACCAAGCATCAGTGTTTCCATCCATTCATGCATCAGTTGTTGGATCTCAGGATGGACAGGTGGGACTGGAGCTGTGGTACCCAGCAGTGCTAGAGTATCAGACTGCATTTTGCAGCCTGGGAACAGATCCAAGCACAAAACTCGAAACACAATTTCTAATCAATGCATGTGGCGTTTGTACCATTGGAAAGGTAAGAAATCCTAAATGCAGCCATTGTAAGTCAGGGACCACTTGCATTTATAAATTTTGAAAATCTGTAATGAAATCAAGTTAAAAATCATGGTTATAAATACTTATGGGGGTTAGTCTTTGAAGATTTCAAGGAAAATGCTCTTAGCATGGTTCCTTCCTTCAAGCCCAGCACTTTGGCATCTGCTCCCATTCTGCGTTCTCTGGATTTGAGGAATACGCTCTCCTCCGGTCTTCGGATGCCCCCATCCACAATATATCATTTTTAGCTATTAAATAACAGGACTCGATATTAATGTTGGCCTTCTCCATCCTTTAAGAAAGTGTTTTCAGCCAAAGATATTAAACCACTCTTTCTCCCTGTCAGCAGAGCAGCCAACATCCTGAGATCACAGCTCATTTATACCACACTGGCGTGAATATTCAGACTCCATTTGTCTCCAGCTCTTAAAGGCTGGTGTTAGAATGAATGATGGACTTTTTGTTTAAAATTAGGAAAAGGGGGGGGGGGAATCTCCCTCCAAGTAATAACTTTAGCCCAAAATATCCATTTCAGGGAATGCAACTCTGCCCTTTCCTCTCAGAAAACTCAATGGAATTAAGATTTAATTTGGCATTGTTGGACTTAGGATATAGAGAATAGTAGGAAGGAAACTGTCTCAACCCACTGCCCCCGATCCAAGCTGAGCATTTGTTCTTTTACTGGAGGGCTGTGGCGCTGAGTCAGGACAGAGGTAAAAGAAGTGTAGGAGTCCATGGAGTCAGAGCTTACCATTTTGGAACTCCAGGTGAGACTTCCGACGGTTATGTTTCAGATATAAATAGCTCAATCATTCCTTTCTTTTTGCTGAATATTCACTGCGCATATGGGAACCAGGGCCGGAAAGGAACTGTAGACAGGGCTCCTGGTACCATCCATCTGCCTTATCCCCGGCTGCTTGTGCCCGTTCTGCCCAGAAACCCTGGCATTCTCTTCCATTAGAAGCTGTGCTGGGCAAGGGTGTGAGCTCTCATGGAAGTTCCTCTGAAGGCCAAGTATGACTTCTTGGCCGGGGAAACACCACCATTTAGCCAAACTTACAAGTGTCCACGTGAGAAGCTAGGATTTCTTCTCACTCTCCTAACCAACCAGGTGGGAAGACCCTGAGAACCCGAGCTCCCGTTCTCCTCAATCCCTAGCCAAGTATGGCTACATCCAGGCTCATTCTGGACCTGCTTTGATTCTCACGGTAAAGACCAGGAGCAGCCTCCTGTAGGGGAGACTCCTAGATAGACATGGGGTTCCAGGCCTTCCCCGACAAGTCTCATTCTACAAACACTCCCACTAGGAAACACCATATTTTACATTTAAATCCTATTATATATAACACATTGGAGCAAATCTGAGCTAAGAGACCAAACACTTTGTTAGGCATGTCCAAGCGAACTCATTCTGCAAAATTCAAGGAAAATGGAAGAAAACAAATTCCCAAACTTCTCTTTCCATCTGAAGCCTCAACTGTTTCTTAACATACTGGCCCATGGTGGTTATAAAGTCTCTCATTCACGATGTTCTGAAACAAGAGCAAAGGTTTCTGGGTGCTTACAACTCAAAGCCCGTCTTTCACATGCTCACAGGAAAGTGGTCTGTTCCTTCAAGCCTGTCAGGTGACTGGACTTAATGAGGCACAGTTGGGAGGAACCTATGCTGGCCGCCGGCCACCATTCACTGCAAGGCCCCGGCACAGCTCTTTCTTCCAAATATTCCTCTTTTATAGAAATAGAAATTTGTGTAAAATTCCAGAACCAAGTGTCAGTGGCATTTTGAGGTACCTCCCCAGCAATGGGCATCTACTTCCTGGCTACTTTAGGACCATAAGGAAGGAAGTGTGGGAGTAAGTACTTGAAGAAAGCTGGTATTGAAAGGGTGGGAGTATGCAGAGAAGGTGCTGTAGACCTCAGATAGCCTTTCCTGCCAATAGTCACACACACACACACACACACACACACACACACACACACACACACACATCCCACCCCTCAAGAGAGGTTCTGTTAAAAGAGAACCAAGGACATAAGGAAGAAAGAAGGAAGAAGAATAGGGGACAATTGATATAATCCTGAAGCAATAATTGCCGGAGAATGGTGCTAAATTCCTGAAAAAAACCTTCTTTCAATTAAGGCCACCCTACCTCCCTCCATTTCCTCTGCCTTCTCTATCTTGTCTAAGGAAGCTCCTCTTTGCACTCCTCCAGTGCTTTGGCTGGCAGTCTTGTGGCGATTTAAATAGGAAACATGTCCGTCGTCCCCCCGCCCCCTACTAGTCACATGTATTTAAAACTTGGTCCCTGTTTGGAGGTGCTGTTTGGGGAGGTTATGGAACTTTTAGGACATGGAACCTCGCTGGAGGAAGTATATCACTGGGGGCGGGTTTTAGCGTGACCCCACTTCCAGCTCACTCTCTGCTTCCTGTTTACCTTTGAAATGTGATCTTTCAGCTTCCTGCTCCTGCCTCGCTGCCATGTGTCCCTGCATGATGGACTCTCACCCCTCTGGAGCAAAGAGCCGAAACAAACACTTTTGTCTACAAGCTGCTTTTGGCTGAGGTATTTTATCACAACAACAGAAAAGTGACTGGTTGCCGCGTATTGCTCCGGAAATCACTAGCCTTTTTGCAACAGGGAGCTTATGGGCTCCACGTGGCTCTGCTATCCTCTTTATTGCCTCAAGGTGATAGTATTAGTCATAGGGAGTAAAGAGTCCATTACTGAAAAAGGAGAAATAAGACAGAAAGTCATTACAAAACAGGAAAACATTCCTTAAAACCTCGATGGCATCTACCCGATCCACTGAGTGCTAACTAAACGACCAGGGCTGTAGCAGGCAGGCTGGTTTTTCATGATGTACCGTTGCATGCAAAAAATTTAGCAAGTCAGGTAAAGAGGTTGTACAACTCCTGTAAGCAGAGCCCAAAGAAACAAACTCTACTCACGGGGAAGCAGTCAGATGCCTACTTCTGAGTCTTTGAACACCAACTCTCGTGGGTTGAATGGGATGATCTTGAAATCTGTTATTGATTATCTGGAATAAAAGGGAAGATCGGAAGATAAGTAGAATAAATAACCTGTAGTTCGTGTAGAGTAGATATTCATTCCTGTGCCTTTGTTTATTTATTTTGTGAGTGTGTGGGCACATGTGTGCCACAGCGTATGAGTGGAGGGCAGATGACAGCTTGGACCCGTGAGGGTTCTGGGGATTGAATGTGGGTCGTCAGGCTTGGTGGCAAGGTATTGGACCCACTGAGCCGTCTCAGCAGCTCTAGAGCGTGTGTGTTTAAAACACCCGTTCCCTCTCAGGTACCACTGGTAGTTGGACCCTGAGGAGAGAACACAGGCCTGATACAAATGCTTACTGTGACTGGGGAGATAGCTGGGCTGGTAAAGGTGCTTGCTGTGAAAACCTGACCACCTGAGTGTGGATCCTCAGAACCCAAGTGAAGGTAGAGGCAGCCATCCAAGGGACTGTAATCCCGGGGAGATAGGAGTTGAGGACACGAGAATCTTCAGAAGCTGTCTGTCCAGCTAGCCTGACAAAGAAACCCTGGTCAAGGATGGTGGAAAGGTGAGAATTGGCAGGAAGGTTGTCCACTGACTTCCACAAATGCATCACATATACATGAATAAGCCATATGCACTTGCACACACACACACACACACACACACACACACAAGGAGGGGATTATCGTACATTTTCACTTTAAAGAAAATAAATGTAATAATTACAGAATCTAAATGATGAGGCCTAAGAGGATGCATGGCTGTGTATCTGCTCTAACAGGACCAACATTATTTGTCTAGCTTCTGTTTCTCTGCTCCTAATACCTTTGGTATTTTAATTTTTTTTAAAAACAGAGTTAGTAAAGGGAAGAAAATGCTATGTGTAGGTGGAAAGCCCATTTTTGGTCTAGTGGGTATGTGCGTGTGTGTGATCTGTCCTGTGAGTGAGACAGAAAAACAAAGTAAATAACAAAGGAACTAAAAGAGAGTCAAGAGAGTGCTAGGCTCATTTGCACGTCTTAAAATGAGTAGATGGATTTTCTGCTCTGTTTCAGGGTAATCGCTGTCAGTGGGAACCAGCCCTCACCTTATCACTTCGAGCCACAGCTGACGGTGCAGTGCCCAGCACAGACATTCTGGCTGACCTTCCTCTGAAGCACTTGCCAAGCTGAGTCTAGACCAGACGTAGTTAAGGAAGGAAAAGGCTAAGGTAAAGGGAGGGAGGGAGGGAGCTAGACACACGTCCAATGAGCCTGTCTTCCTTCCCCAGTCCCTAGTGAGCTGGTGGCAAACAGCCAGGCACTATTTATCGCTCCTTGGACATAACCATCTACCCAGGCGTGGGGAGAAATGGGTTTTACATGAAAACATTCACTATGGGGGAACGGAGGTGTGCAATGAAAGCAAAGGAGAGATTGTCTCCTTCGCATCAGATTTTAAGCTCTCCTAAAACAGTGATTTTCTTGGGCGCTGAAGAAGTGGTTAAATGAACTTTTTGGTGACACAAGAAGTAGTAATTAGCATGTTTCTTGGTAAAAATTGGTTAAAACCATATGCAGGGGGCTCTATAATCATATGTGAATTTTCTGTTATTAAGAATGTTCTTAGGTATGATTTTCAAAATGGATGCCAAGGGAGAGTTTCAGATAATGACTTACTGTAACCAGGAATCACTGCAAAAGTTAAATTAGGAATTTAATAAGAAATAGATGGTGCTTTAGCCATCATGAAGAACCAGTTGAAGAATGAATTTAACATGTTACCTTCCACAGCTGAATTAGGGCCCCTTGATGTCAACATTATGATTTCTATCAAACTACTGTGATTGTGAAACTCATCCACAGTGTTCAGTCCCCCCAGGGATTCAGGGAGAGTCACTCAGAAGGGGTCTTCAGAAGTGTTATCTTTGCTGGTAAACACGAGGGTATGGGTGGCTGGTGACATTGTCCCACCCATAAGAGGGTTCCATTTAGTGACCAGAAGGACGACAAATACTTTGTGTTGTAGATTATGTTGAGAGGCACTTCTCCACACTTGGGAAACATGAAGAGTGCTTTGTGTGGTTTTACACAAATTCCATTGAGTCTTCCACTCTAGATAATAAGATGGAACATTATTTAATGACAGGGGTGAGAGCTATGGGACACAATGCTTGAAATGGGAAAGGAATGGGAGGCAGCTATTTTAGTCTCAGTTGGCAGGAAGTCAAGTACCTTGTGGAGATGGATATTAAAATAAAATATTTAAAAATAGATCTGTGGAGTTCAGTCCAAATGAGTCGGTGGCAATAAAACATTAATGCTTGTCTCTTTCTCACATTTATAATTGGGTATGGAAGTTAGAAGTCTGTTAGAATAGAGGGAATTCTAGGGAATTTTGGGGCATTCAGGCCATTTAAATAAACACCGATGAGTAGATGGATATTGAACAAGTCACTTAACCACCCCTGGTCTCTCAGTTCTCAGCTCAATATGAAGTATTTGGAGTGTGTTTGTAAGAGATCTTCAACTCAGATGCTTTATATATGATCATATGATCTTTTAAGGAAAGAGCTGTGTTATGTATCTCAACACTTGTGAAAGACCCTGTAGTTATAAATAAAAAGCCAACTGCACTCTCCTTTCCCAGACCACCTGGCCCTATCCCATCCCCGTCATTTCTAAGAGATGTGTGTGTGTGTGTGTGTGTGTGTGTGTGTGTGTGTGTGTGTGTGTGTGTTTTCTGAGACAGGGTTTCTCTGTGTAGCCCTGGCTGTCCTGGTACTCACTTTGTGGACCGGGCTGGCCTCGAACTTAGAGATCCTTCTGCCTCTGCCTCCCAAGTGCTGCAATTGATTGAACTACTATGCCTGGCCTAGGACACATGTTTCTGAAATTGAATTTCATTTTCTTTTTCTTTCTTTCTTTTTTGTTTGTTGAGACAGGGTTTCTATGTGTAACAGCCCCAGATGTCCTGAAATTCACTTTGTAGACCAGGCTGGCCTCAAACACATAGAGATCCACCTGCCTCTGCCTCCCAAATGCTGGGCTTAAAGTAAGATAAATATGTTTTATATCTCCCTGAGAAATAAAAACATTCCATATAACAATGTTGAGAGCTTTCTGAGTGTGTACTATGTACAAGGAACTTGGTATGTGTTCTCTTGTTTAATTTTTGCCATCTGAAAGTAAAGAAACAGATCAGTTAATAAATGATAGAGTTGAAATGAAACCCATAATGCCTTACTCCAAAGCTTTCTCCCTGACTGAACCCCTGGAGTTTTCATAGCTTCCAAGGCTTTTCTAAGACCGTTTACAAAAACTGTTGTGAAGCAGGCTTTTGATGAGTTTGTTTTGAGTGTAGATTGACCGACAGAGATACCGAGAGTAGATCAGCATGGAGCAGTCCCATGTTATTATCGGAAACAACTGAAAAACTGGGATAAAATATAAGAAGGTCATTCCTACGGCATCGGAAAGCTGCTGCAGTAACCAGAACTTCAAGGCTCAACATACCTTCTTTTCAACAGTGTGTGTGTGTGTGTGTGTGTGTGTGTGTGTGTGGTTTCTTTTAGTCAAAGGTCAGGTGGATGTAGGTGTGTGCACTTATATCTGGGCCCTCAATTCTATTTCTATGGTCAATCTGTCTGTCGAAATGCCAGTACCATGCTGGTTTATTACTATAGCTCTATAGTGTAACTTGAACCAGCTCCTAACAATTTATTTCCTTTAGCTTAGTGTATCACTCAACCCTTGCCAAAGAAGCTGCTTATAGAAGGAGATGGTGTTCTGCTGGTCAACATGCAGAGAATGAGAGACTACTAAGTGCTCAGCCCTAACCAGGATGTCTATATCACACATCCTCCTTCTCCTGAGGCTCAGAGATTTTGGGGGAAGAGGAGGGTAGAAAGATTGTAAGGATCAGAAGCTGTGGGTGGCTATAAGGAAACCTTCTTTCAGGATGCAGCAGGGCAGTTACACAGAAACTCACAATGGTTGTGACAGCACGCACAAGATCTGCACAAGATCAGGCCAGGTAAAGTCCCAGCATGGAATGGAGGGGTGGCCACAAACTCCTACCCCTGGCTGAGGAGCTATTAGCTACTGATGGTTGCCAGGAGAGGGGGTTTTCTTCAAGGACACATCTCCTTAGAGCAGTGGTTCTCAGCCCTCCTGATTGACCTTTTAATACAGTTCCTCATGTTGTGGTGACCTCAACCATAAAATTATTTTCATTGCTACTTCACAACTGTAATTTTACTATTGTTATGAATCATAATGTAAATATCTGTGTTTTCCAATGGTCTTAGGTGACCCCCATGAAAGGCTCCCAAAGGGGTCATGAACCACAGATTGAGAAACACTGGTTTAGAGGCTACCGATGTCCCAGTAGTTGGCCCTCAACCCCTTCCCACACAGGCATCACTGAGCCGACTCAGCGGGAAACAAACAAATACCTCATGATGTTGGGAAATACAGTCAAGAGGAGATGAGGGAGGAATGGGAAGAGAGGGAAGTGCCGTGGACTTGATCAAAACACAAGGGATACACACAAGCACGTCTCAACCAATTAAAAGCAGATACCCAGCCAGCAAGATGGCTCAGCAGGTAAAGGTACTTGCTGCCAGGTCTGACAACCTGAGTTTAATCCTCAGGATCCACATGGCAGAAAGAGAGGATCAGATCTCACAAGTTGTCACACTTCCCCTCAAACAAATAGATGTAAAAATAAGTAAAAAAAAAAATTAATGCCAGTATGTATGAAGGAAAAAAATACTATATCAAAATTAAGAACCACAGAGACAAACAAAGGTCTGTGTATAGATTAATAAACATCTGGCTAATAGCTGGGCCTGGTGGCATACGCCTTTAATCCCAGCACTCAGGAGGCAGAGGCAGGCAGATCTCTGTGAGTTTGAGGCCAGCCTGGTCTACCGAGCGAGTTCTGGGACAGCCAGAGCTACATAGGGAGAACCTTGACTCAAAAAAATATATATATATATGACAAATATATGACAAAGTACATGAATCCAGAATATATAAAGAATTTCTGAAAATCAATAAGAAACAGATAATCCAATAGGAAAATGGATAAAGTTCCAACTGGTGCTTCACAAAAGAGGATATTAAAATGGACAGTAAGCACCTAAAGAAGCATTCAGCCCCATCTTTTAAGATAGTACACTAAGATCATATGCCTCTAGAATAAAAAAAAATAAGATTGAAGACCAGTCCCTCAGTGTTGGTGGACAACTGGAACTTCCATTCATTGCTGTGAGGTTGCAAACCACCAAAATGGCTCAAGAGAAATGTTTGACAGCATTTGCAGAAGACAGAAATCTTGCTCTTAGGTCTACAAGCAAAAAGCCCATACATATAGATATTTGTCAGACAACACGGACTAGAATCTTCATAGCATCACTTTTCATCATAGTCACAGTGAAAATAACCTTAATGTCCATCAACCACGAAGCAGAGGAACTTTGTCAAGCAAAGAATGAAACACAATACGGCACTGAGAATGTTCTCTACAGGCCTCAGGTTCTCTCTTATCTGAGAGACATTAAGTTGGATGAGACACCAAAAATCACCATAGTCCATCAATCCAAATTCAAATGTGAACACTGGGCATTAAAGATCAGAAGAAGGTAATAATGGGGTAGCAATGATGGCAGGGAAGACATGACTTTCTCAGGGCATGAAGAGAGTTCCTGGGTGCTAGTGGTACTGTAGATGCTGACTGCATAGGCATATCTATTCTGTGAAAAGTCATCATACCATGCAGTTATGGGCTGTGTGCTTTTCTGCATTTATATGTCATTTCAGGGTTCTTTGTATTGCATGTGCCTAGGCCAAAAGGAAGCCTCAGTCTTCGAGGATGACAAACAGAGGGAGTTTGTGAGCTCAGAGTATATGAAGTCACCAAGGTTCTGTGTCAGCCATCTATTACATCAGTAGTAAAATAACAGGGTAAAAAGAAGGTCTAACAATGAGGGAAAACTTCAAGGCAATGCCAATCAATGCCACAAAAGGAAGGCTGGGATCAATTAGGTCAGTTATTTCTAAATTAAATTAAAAGTTGACACTGGGTTATTTACCAATGACTTGGTGAACTTTCCATATATGTATTTTGGCTTGCCACACCTTAGAAGGGAAATACTGGCTATCTTTGCAACTGATCCATTCCAAAACAATTCAAATACGGGACTACTTCTTAAGACGCTCCAGAATTTCCCAGGCTTCACCGCCAATGCTCACTGTCTACCATGTCTTTTCTTCATAGTCACCAACACCTTCCCAAACCAGTTTCCAGCAGCCGACATGTGTGTCAAAACCTTAAACAAGATATTCTCTGTGCTTTGAAAAGTGTGGATGCATGTTTAGCTTTTGCTTGTGTATTTTTGGTAAACTCCATCTGTTGTAGACTTGTATTTCATCATATGTTTTACAATTTATTTTTGGTTATCTGTCCTATGATGTGTGTGTGTGTTTGTATGAGCTTGTGTGCATCATTTGCAGGCAGGAGCCTGAGGAGGTTAGAAGAGAGTGTTGGGTCCCTTGGAACTGGAGTGACAGGGGTTTGTGAGATGCCATGTGGGTGCTGGGAAGCAAATTTGGGTCCTCAGTGAGAGCAGTTAAGTGCTATTAACCACTGGACCATCTCTCCAGCCCCGCAGCATAGGTTTTTAGGCCTGAATGAGAATCTCTTGTTTTTCATGGAACACATTTTTAGTGTTACTATGGAATTATGTACATGAGAATATTTGTATAAATGAGTAGAAAAGAGGCTTAGTTGTATTAATAGGGTAATTAATATAGGAAACTCGGCTACCAAGGAGTTAATGCAGCAAGAAATTATGGAAATTATTTTCATAAAGAAAAATAGTTATTTAATAAAAATGAGAATTCTCATGGCCTTTTGCATTGAATATATTCATCAAAGTGTTCAGCTGGATTGGGCATAGATCTTTCCCTAAGAAGCATCATGGGATTGTGGAAGAATGCAGGTTGTAGGGTCATATAGACTGCACTTAACAGAACTGTGGTTTTAGGGAAATTCGTTTTGTATATCAGTTACTTCAGTATCAAATTATTACTGAAAATTGTAATAGTCACCTTGAGTGTTTCCTCCCTCCGCCTCTGTAGCATTTTGTTAACGCCTCAGTGGAAGAAACGACCACCAAGTAAAAGTACTGCTCTCCTCTCCCTTCCTCCCCCCACTGCATCTCCCTCCCTCCCTCCCTCCCTCCCTCCTTCCCTCCCTCCTGTGTGTGTGTGTGTGTGTGTGTGTGTGTGTGTGTGTGTTCATGTGTCGTCATACATGAATGTGTGTGGGGAGGCTAGAAGTCAGCCAAAGTCAGACGCCAATGTCATTCAGTCTCCACTTTATTATTTGGAGACAGTCTGTCACTGAACCTAGAGTGTACCAGTTCAGCTAGACTGGTTGGCCAGCCAGCCCCAAGGTCCTCTTATCTTTTCCCCCTCACTAGGCACCTCCATAGCATCCAGCTTTTTACGTGGATGCTGGAAATCAGAAGTCAGGCCCTCATGCTTGCCTGACAAACACTTGACCCACTGAGCCACCTCCTCGGCCCCAGGCACCAGCTTCTGCTCCTCCTTTTTCATTCTATTTTATTTTTTGAGACAAGGCTTCACTGTATCAACAGCCTTGGCTGTCCTGGAACTCGCTTTGTAGCCCAGGCTGGCCTCGAACTCACAGAGATCCACCTGCTTCTGCCTCCTGAGTGCTGGGATTAAAGGTGTGCGCCACCACCTGGCCAGGTAGCAGCTTCTCGATGGCAAGGTAGTTAGCACATTCCCTGGCCTATAGCACATGCTTCACAAAAGCCTGTTGGGTACATGGGTGGGTGAGTCAATGGACAAGGTGACAGGGAAAGAGCCTAGCATGAAGCTTAGCACACTAGGACACCCCCCCCCCCGTGAGTATCAGCTTCTTTCTTTTCACTCTTCATTGGTTTTCTGCATCTGGAAAACAGAACAGCTACCCCCTCCCCCAGTCTATTTCTGTGTCCTCACGTGACTGTTATAAGTGATATAAGCTAAGGAAACTTGGCCAAATTCTTAAAATTTCAAGGAAGGCAAAGGATGGATTTTAGATCTAGGTTTTCAGAGGAGCCTGTTTGTAAAGTGTGAAGAAAGGGGAACTCTTTCCTTTTCAGAATAAAATAAGATCACATAACAATGCGGAGAAAGGGCTTTGATGTCTTAAAAGGAGGCTCTTTGCTGCGCCCCTTTCTATTTTTCCACTGACTGGGAATAATTCATGCTGTTCTTTCTTCAGCCAAGGTCTTTCCATTTTTAACAGAAGAACGAGGGTAGATTTTTCTAGGCAAGATGATTTCTGATTGGAGAAGCAGTAAGAATGCATCCAGAGCAGGGTGAATGAAGGTCAGATGTTTATTTTTAAAGCCCTATGAAGAGTTCTCTACTTGTTGGAAGCAAACAGGGAAGAAAGAGTCATTTATGCAACGATGAAATTTCTAGATTTCTCATGGGAAAGTGGCTGATGTCAGTGCTTGATAAGTTTCTTGTGGAAACAAGCAGGCAAGATGCAGACTTCTGAGAAAACGCCATCCTTCAATTCGGAGTCACTGTTTACCTGAGGCTGGCATTTAGCACACCACTGACCATGCCGAGGGATGAAGTGAGGATGTGGAGAAGCCCAAGGGCTGTGGAGACACCCTGGTGGGGATTTCCTATACGATGATCGATCACCTTTGCCTTATCATTCTCAGTGAGTGCTGAACCTTCACAGGTCATTTGTGTGATGTTAACTGCCTGGGTTCCAATGTGCTAAGAAATAATGAACTTCACTTTTAAATTTATTATTGTATATGTAGGTATGGTGTGTGTTGGGGAGCGGTGGGGGGGCACCCATGCCACTGTGTACATGTGGAGGTCAGAGGACAACTTTTTCCTATGTTCTCACCTTCCACTTTAACAAATTTTTATTTATTCTTCAAGAATTTCATATATGTACCCAATGTGCTTGGATCTTCTCCACTCTCCACACCCCTCCAACCCCTACCGGATCCCCTCCATTTTCCTGCCCAACTTTATGTCTTCTTTTTCCTTCTATAACCCAGTAAGTCCAAAATTAATGCTACCCAAACTTTCACCTGGGTCCCAAACTCCGGTTGTCAGAATTTCAATGGCAAATTCCTTCACTCACTGAGTCGTCTTACCAGTTCTTAACCATTTGGTTCTTTTTAAAAACTGATTTTTATTTAAATTTTTTTCATATTCTTTCCCCTCTCTAAATGCCTCCCAACTTCCTCATCCACTCAACTTCATTCTCTCCCTCTCCCTCTCTCTCTCAACACCCCAAAGCAACAAAAACAGAAAAACCCGACCATATATATATATATTCTAACACAAAACAAAGCACACAAGAAAACATGGAGTCCATTTTGCGTTGGCTGACGACTCCTGGGCACGGGGCCTGCCATGGAGTGTGGTGGGTACATCCAGAGACACTCCCTTGGAGAAAACTGGTTTTCTCTTTCCCAGTAGGTATTAATTACGAATCGCTTCTTGGTTAAAGGTGGGACTTTGTCCACTTCCCCTTCTCCATGCTGGGATTTTGTCTAGTTTGAACCTGTGAGGTCTTGAATGTTCTGATTTTATATATATCAGAAGAACTAGAGAGATAGCTCAGTAGTTAAGAAAGCTTAATGGTCTTCCAGAGGACTTGAGTTCCCACCATCCAAATGGATGGCTCACTACTACCCGTTACTCCTGTTCCAAGGGATCCAGTGCCCTATTCTGGCCTGCATGGGTATATGTGGCATGTGCTCGTGTACAGACACACACACACACACACACACACACACACACACACACACGCACACGCACACGCACACGCACGCGCACACACGCACACACGCGTGCACACACGCACAGACATACACACACAGACACACACACACACACACACACACACACACACATACTACGCACACACCACAAATAAAAAAAAAACATTTCAATGTATGCAATCCTCCTTGTTCCTCTGTCCAATCGTCTCTGTGTGGTTTCCTAAATTAACAGAGCCAATTCAGAGGAAGAACTGTGAAGCTGAGAAAATGCAAAGCAAGAAAATATGACTTGGGTCTAGGAAAACCAAGCACTATATGTATCATGGATACTTTATCTGCTGTATTTGACACAATCGGAAGCCAATAAAAGACATTTAGTAACTAGCAGTATAACTAAATTGGACTCCTTATTTATATATGACTCCCAATGTACTTACAGTCTCAAAGATGAAACTGGCATTGAGGACTTTTGGATATTTACAAAGAAGCAGTGTGCTGCCTTATTACTTTACAGCTATATGTGATCAAAGCACTTGGATAATTCATTCATTTCACTCAACTTAGTGAAGAGTTTAGGCACAGTTTCTGTGTAGATTTTTTATGTTCCTAGAATGTTTCTGTCTAAAATATTCATGGGCTAGGCATGATGGTGAATTTATACAATCCCAACAATGAGGACCCTGAGGCAAGAGGATTGCCATGAGTTCAAGGCTGGCTTAGGCCTCATAGCAAAGGCCTACCTACAAAAACAGAGTCTGGGGAGATGGCTTAGTCAGGAAAGCGCTCGCACAGCATGAGGACTGAGCCTGGATCCCAGCACCCATGTAAAAGGTCAGACTAAACAGAGCCTGGCATTTAGAGGACAGACAGACAGACAGATCTCTGGAGCTCACTGGCCGGCCAGTCTAGTTGAATTAAGGAGCTTCAAGCTCAGTGAGAGACCCTGATCTCAAAAGCTAAGATGGGAAGAGTCTAAGGAAAAGTACTAATACAACCTCTGGCTACCACAAGCATGTATACAAATTGGCATACACACCTACACACATGCACACACAGACACATACAGCATACACATACATCACACATACACACAAAATGACATCACATAGACACACGCAATGAAAAAGAAAATAACAAAACAAAGTATTCTTTTTAATTGTATGTGTATGCGTGTTTTATCTACACACACACACACACACACACACACACACACACCATGCATGCAGTGCCCACACAGGCCAGAATAGGGCATTGGATTCCTTGGAACTGGGGTTACAGAAAGCTGTGCGGCATCATGTGGGTGCTGGGAACCAAACCCGGGTCTATTGTGGGAGGAGCAAGTGCTCTTCACCACCGAGCCGTCTCTCCAGCCCACAAAGCAAAGTCTTCACTCTTTTTCTAGTAATGGTTTTGACTCACAGGATCAAATGTCAGTACCTAAGGACAGAACTAGATATTGTGATCTCTTTGATGTCCGGTTGCTTAAAGCAAGCCAAAAGCCAAGCCAAATAGCACCCAGAGGGGAGCAATCTTATTTGACTTTAACCAGATGGAAGGGGCTTCCCAGGGTTTCCATGTAGCCATCCACTACAGAACTGTGTACTAAGGTGTCCCAGGCTAAGCACAGCTCTGTACATAAGCAATCTGGTCTGCTATAAGACTCAAGGCTTAGGTCAGAAGCTAGGGTCACCTTGTCCTATAGCACAAGATGAAGTCACCAGTGTGGAGCATTGAGAAAGTTCGCTAGTAGATGTCACTCTGCTCATCTGAGAGAATGACTGTCCAGCGCTCACCCCACTCATCTGAGAGAATGACTGCCCAGCACTCACTCCGCTCATCTGAGAGAATGACTGCCCAGCACTTATTTGAGAGAATGACTGCCCAGCGCTCACTCCGCTCATCTGAAGGAATGACCGCCCAGCGCTGTTTGCATTTACAGTTTAAAGAGTACCCAGTGGAGGCTGTAGTCCCATAGATGAGATACACGACCTTTGCACTAGAAAAGTAGTTAGCATTACACTCGCTGCCCATTCACTCTCACCCAGACATGCATTTGCTCTCCTCCGGGAAGCTGTAGACATCAGCAACCACAGTAAAATAACAAGGCACAGGGGGCCATTTTGTGCACAGGGCCCTGGGAACGGCCAGTGGAATTCCTCTGACAGGTCTCCTTTTGACTTTTCCCATAGACCCTGTTCCTGCACTAAAATGTCTGGAATGCTTGGTGGGGATGAAGCAGCTGGTCACTAGGCAATTACGCTTCTGTCACATATGAGAACAACCCTTTGTAGACTGATTTCCGAGCAACACTTGGGGCATCACAAACGAGTTAAGAATGTAAGAACAACACAGCTATGATGAACAGAACTTTTGGGTCCCTTGTGTCTTAGTTTTCTCTCTGTGATAAAACAGCATGACCAAAGGGAAGTTGGGGAGGAGAGGGTTTACTTCATATTAGAGCTTATAGTCTGTCATCCAGGGAAGTCGGGGCAGGAACTCAAGGCAGGAGCCTGAAGGAGGGAAACTGATACAGGATCAAGGAGGAACCCTGCTTACTGGCTTGCCCTCCATGGCTTATTCAGCCTGCTTTCTTTTTTTTTTTTTTTTTT